AAGCATACACTTAAAATTTTTATATTTCAACAACGGCGTTTGTGTATGTGAAATTTACCTGAAAAGGGAAAAAAAATTATACACAGTAAACTAGTTAATGATTTGTATGCTCAGCTATTAGGGACAGTATATTGATATCTTTTATTTTGAAGTGCATTAAAAAAGATGACTAGGGCTGGGGATTTAGCTCAGCGGCACAGCACCTGCCTGGCAAACGCAAGGTCATGAGTTTGATTCCTGGTACCAGAAAAAGATAAAAAAATAAAAAAAGATGACTTAAAATGGATTGAGGGATGATAGATGAGAGGATTAGTATAACATTATAATAAAATAAGTGAAATAAAAGTGGTAATTATAGAGTCTAAGTGGTGGATATATGAATATTTTCTATAAAATTATTTCAGCTTTTCTGTCACATTATTCTTAGGCATTCTGTAGCAATACAGAAGCTGATGTCAGATGTGCAGAGTACTTTAGAATGGTATCAGTTTTACTTTTTATAAAATCTTAGTCCATTTAGTGTTGCAGCAAAAAATACCCAAGGCTAGTTGCTTTATAAAATAAAGAGATTTATTTGCCTCAGAATTCTGGTGGCCAGAAGGTCCAAACAGCATGGTACTGGTGTCTTAGTGAAGACCTCTCTGGCTGGAGAAGCAGGAACAAAAATGGTCTTTTCCACAAAGACCAAGCTCATGAGGTAGTCTCACTGTTTCACCTTGCCTTCCCTCTCCTCCCCTTCCCTCCCCTCTTTTTGACAAGGTCTCACTGTGTATCTCAGGCTGGCCTTGAACTCATGTTGATCTTCTTGCCAAAGTCTTCCAAGTGCTGGGATTACAGGCATGCATGATCACACCTGGCAAGGTGGCCTCACTTTGGAACAACCCTTTCTGTAAGGAATTACTGCATGAGAGAAACATTAATCCCTTCCAAGATGGCGGCCCCCCATTCCTGGGACCTAATTACTTTCCATTAGGCTCCACCTGTTAAAGGTTCCAACTCAACACCATTACACCGAGGAGCAAGTTCCAAGCACATTTAGGAGAATGAGCAAACTGTTTCTAAACTATGACCAGTAAAGTATAGCATCTCTGCTGTACTCTGTAAGGACGGGAGGAGTGACAGGGAAAATAACTTGCATCACAAGAGCTTGTCTGGTTATCTACAGCAAAGATTGTCAGTTATTGAACTTAAAGATGAATGAAGTAGATTTTTTAAACAAAAAGGGATGTCAAATTCGCTTACCTTTTTTTGAACAAAAGTGCCTGTATAATATGCTACATAGATTAAAAATAAACTAATACGCTAATCAGTGGAACACTCCATCTCTTTAAGTCAGAGATTATTTTCACAGTGAGTGTGAAATAACTGCCCTTCTGAAAGGCAGAAAGAAGGGCAGAAGTAAAAATTACAAAGAGTGTTTCCTTTTTTGGTGCCTGGAATTGAAATCAGGACCTCGTGCTTGCCAGGCAGACAAAGAGTATTTCAAAAGTCAGTCTTTGGAAATCTCATGTGATTTCTGTTATTAAAGACAAATATGTTCATGAGAAGTATTCTATTTGTGCTCCTCCTCCTCTCCTCCTCCTTTTCCTTCCTCTTCCTCCTCTGCTACTATGACTTCTCCTTCCTTCTCCTTTTCTTCTCCCTCTCTTACTCTGCCTCTCCTCCTCCTCTACTACTATGACTACTACTACTTCCTCTTCCTCTTCCTCTTCCTCCTTTTCCTCAGTTACTGCAACTACTACTTCCCCTTCTTCTCCTTCCCCTTCCCCTTGTCCTTTCTCTTTCCTTTCCTCCTCCTCCTTTTTTCTGATATAGGGCATCGAACCCAGCACCTTCATTCCAAGTCACATCCCTAACTCCAACTTCCACCTTAACACTTTTTTTTTTAAGTTTTAGATAGGATCTTGGTAAGATGCCCAGGCTGGGCTTGAACTTGCACCACCCTCCCTGGTGCTGTTTGTACTCATTAAAAAAGAAAAGACAACGTGACCCTGGCCCCAGCTGCACACCGGTATGGAGCTGGAAGAGGGGACCCTGCTGTGGCGGCTGCAGAAGCTGCCCCCGGAGCTTGGTGCGCAGCTTCTTCACAAAATAATTGATGGCATTTGTGGTCGAGCTTATCCTCTATACCAGGATTATGACAGTGTTTGGGACTCAGTAGAATGGGTGCATGTTCTAGAAGATGTTACCAAGTTTTTCAAAGCCGTAGTTGGTAAAACATTTATTGGACGAAGAGACACTTCAACAGTTGAATCAATTGAGCTCATCTCATCAGGAATCTATCATGAAATGCTTGAAAAGTAGGAAAGATGGAATCAAGCAAGTTCTGTTAGGAGAAGTAGTTAATATTTCCTCTGCACAGCTACAAGATTTTGACTGGCAGCTAAAGCTTGCACTTTCTAGTGACAAGATTGCTACTTTACAAATGGCACTTTTAAGCCTTCATATAGATGTAAAAGAAAATGGTGAAGTAAAACCATATTCTGTTGAAATGAGTAAGGAGGAGCTGCAGAATCTCATGAATTCCTTGGAAGCAGCCAGTAATGTGCTCCTGCAGTTGAAATAACTGGAGATGATGAATACCAGCATTATCAGGTTTCTCTGCTATGATTGATACAGCAGCGTGAACACTGTGTTCGGAAACCCTGCAACATACTGACTGCTATGCCCAGCTGAGGAAGGAGCTGTGTTGAGATTAGAAAGATAAGAATCTATTAGTGTCTCTAAAGAACAGGAAATTACATGGTTGGAAGGAAATGCGTAAAATGAAAGTAAAAAAGCTATGGTAGCGGTTTATATTTTCACAATGACTCTTTTGTGTCCTTTATTAATATTTGAGAAATCTTTGTAAATAGTTTTATTGAAAGCTAAAAATAGTTTTTAAGGTAATGTAAACATACAAAGCACAAATGTATTGAATGTTGCTTAAAGAAATACGTGAATAGCAACAGCTTGTATTATGGGTATATAGTAAATTTGTGATATTTAAATAAGTTTGCAAAAGTATATATAAGCTACATATATAACTCAGGAGATTCTGTATCTTTTTCATTTCAAAGAAAAATATGTAAAATTTCTTAGAGAAAAGGTCTTCATCAGACATGAACAAGAAACAACTTTAAATATCTGAATAATTCTGAGTTTACGAATTGTAGACGCTAAAATCTAGAACACAGAAAAGGTTAAAGTGACATTATTACTTCTGTATTTCCGAGTCTGATTGGGAGACTATGCTCTGATAAAAGGAACAGATGTCATTTTATAGTGTGTACATTGTTACAAATATCGGGTAATACTCTATAGGTCCATTTTGGTTATAAATTTTTAATAATGAATTAAACACTTTTGGATGTTATGAAATTCATTGGAAGATAAACCATTTTTAAGAAGGATTCTGAAAAAAAAATTAATAAAATAAAAAAAGACAAAAAAAACTAAAAACTTGGGACAATATATTCTATACTTTTGAAAATTCTTCCAAATAAAGTTTTAATGGATGGATAGGGGAGGGGTGATGGGAGAAAGAAGAGATGTTCAAAGGATGTAAAGTTTCATTTATACAGGAGGAAAAAGTTTCAGTGTTTTTATTGGGAGGCATGGTGATTATAGTTAATAATTATGTGTTTCAAAATTGCTAAATTAGTAGATTTTAAATTTCTTACCCTAAAAATGTTAAGTATGTAAAGTGATGGATATGTACATTAACATGATCTAATCATTCCACAAAGTATACACATCACATTGTGTCCCATAAATATATGCAATTATTTTTGTCAATTAAAAACATAAAAAAAAATTAAAAACCCCACCAAAAACACCGTCACATATCTAATGGCCCATGAGTGTCTTGGTAGAAATTCATCATTTTAGTAATCATATATGATTTATATACTTTTCTGGTTGATTGTTAAGCTTTAGTAAAAATAAATAAATGAAAAAAAACAGAAACCAAAATTAAAAAACCTCAGCAGTTTTTTCAACCTGTTGTTAGCAATGTTAAAATGCAATATATTTTGATTAGTTTAGAAGAACAATTGATTGACATGAGGGAAGGTGGAAATTATGTGTTCAACAAAAATGTTTGGTAATTAATGGAAGACATTAAAAACAAAAATAGTGATTTAGGGGCTGGGGATTTAGCTCAGCGGCAAAAGCGCCTGCCTGGCAAGCACAAGGTCGTGAGTTCGGTTCCCGGTACCGGAGAAAAACGAAAAAAAAAAAAAAAAATAGTGATTTAGTTAAGTCAAACAAATTATGTATTTCCTTGTTGTTGTTTTTTTTAAAAATCTTTTTGAGACAGGTCTCCCTATGCAGTTCAGGGTGGCCCTGAGCTCACTTTGTAGTCCAGGCTAGTCTCAAACTTGCAATGATCCTCCTGCCTCAGCCTTCTGAGGGTTGGGATTACAGGTGTGCACCAACATACCTGGTCTTGGAGACCTCTCCACTTATCACTTGTGATCAAGCAAGCACTTATTTTTATTGGTAGCAGTAATTATTTATTCTAAAAGTCTAAGTCATTGTCATATACATTATAAACCAGCACTTAGATTGTATTATGTTTACCATGAATATTTCTCAGTTTCATCTCAGACTCTGTTTTCATTTCTGTCCAAGATTTTCTTTTTTCTTTATTTTCCCATAGTGAAAAAAAAATGTTCATTGGTATTATTTTCTCAGTGTCATTGTTGGCTGGGTATGGTGGCACACACCTGTAATCCCAGCACTCGGGAGGCTGAGGCAGGAGGATCATTGCGAGTTCGAGACCAGCCTGGGCTACAAAGTGAGCTCAAGGCCAGCTCACTTACTGCATAGCGAGACCCTGTCTCAAAAAGACAAAAAGAAAAACAAACAAACAAAAAAATAAATGCAATGGCTATCTTAGGGTAGTAAGGCTTAATTCTTTCCTAGGATAAACTGTTTCTGCAGCAAAGTTTTGAAATGATTTACTTTGAATGGTTTATGGTATTTCTACAATCAATTAAAAAAAATTTTGTTTTTAGATTACAGGTCCACCAGGTTGTGGTAAAACTCAATTTTGTATAATGATGAGTGTGCTGGCTACATTACCCACCAACATGGGAGGATTAGAAGGAGCTGTTGTGTACATTGACACAGAGTCGGCATTTAGTGCTGAACGGTACGATATTTTATTATTTCCATTATAATGTTTACTTTCATAATGTATAATGTGGAACGTTTACAAATTTCATTGATTTCTGCATTGATTGTTATCATTTCTTTCTGTTAGTTTCAGATTTGGATGGACATTGAGGTGAATCATTAGGTTATGCATTTGAGATCATGGTATTCTTTTCATGTATGCATTTATAGCTATAAACTTCCACCTTAGAAATGGTTTCATTACGTCCCATAAATTTCCATTGTCATTTGATTCTAGGAACCTTTTTCTTTCTTCCACGATCTGTTGATTATTCAACAATGTATTAATGTATTATTTATTTATTTATCTTTTTGAGACAGGGTCTCACTGTGCAGTTCAGGCTGGCCTTGAGCTCACTTTGTAGCCTAGGCTGGTTTCAAACTTGCAACTCACAACAATCCTCCTGCCTCAACCTCCCAAGTGCTGGGATTACAGGCATGTGCCACCATGCCTGGCTTTAATGTATTATTTAATCTCCATGTATTTGTGTAGTTTCTGTGGCTTCTTTTGCCTTGTACCTTTATTACGCTATGATCTGATAGTATGCAGAGGATTACTTCAATTTTTATGTTTAGGCATGCTTTATGGCTTAACATATAATCTATTTTGGAACATGTCCCATATGCTGTTGAGAAAGGAAAAGCTGGGCATGGTGGTGCACGCCCGTAATCCCAGCACTTGGGAGGCAGAGGCAGGAGGATTGTTGCAAGTTGCAAGTTTGAGACCAGCCTGGGCTACAAAGTGAGCTCAAGGCCAGCCTAAACTACATACCCAGACCCTGTCTCAAAAGGACCAAAAAAAAAAAAAATTCCAATGACTAGCTGGGTGTGGTGGCATATGCCAGTAATCCCAGTACTTGGGAGGCTGAGGCAGGATGATTGGAGTTCAAGGCCAGCCTTAACTGCATAGCGAAACCCTATCTCAAAAAAATAAATAAAAAGCCAATGACTAGTTGGGTGGTGTGGTGCATGCCTATAATCACAGTGGCTCCAGAGACTGAGGCAGGAGGAGTACAAGTTTGTGTTCAGCCTGGGCAATTTAGTGACTTAGCAAGACCTGTGCAAGAAAGGAAAATAAAACACTGGGTTTGTAGTTTAGCATCAAAGGTCCTAGGTTCAATCTCCAGTATAAAAAACAAACAAACTCAATGGCTAGCCTTCAACTAACACACTGCACAGTCACTAGGTAGGTGTTAAATAGTCAAGTAAGTAATAAATAGCTAATGCACAGATCTTTCAAAATGGCTTGTGAGGAATTTGGTTAAAGAATTCAAGGGTAAGGTTATTCTGATAACAACAGTTCAGTTTACTGTAATGGATCTCTATTTTCTTTTTCCCCACGTAGAAATTTGCCTTTAGGATATCTTTTTAAGGAATACGCTGTGGTATGATTCTGTTGTTGTCAGTGTTGTGGTTCAGAGCAGTTTAAAAGCCGTATCTGAAAACTGAGTGATAGCCAACATAAATAGAGTTAACAAGTGACTAGTTTTTTGCATTTTCCAGATTGATTTGTGGAGATTTTTGTTGGTGTTTCTTTGCATGTAGCCTCAATACTTACTTTTTGATCCTTTATATTTATTTATTTATTTATTTCTCTTTCATCTTTCTTAGCTTTGTGCTTATTAGTACTTACATCAGAGTCAGGTTGGAAAATGAAGAGGTAAAATTTTAGTTGCTTGAAGGAATTGTTACATAATTTCCAAGGAGTGCTTATGAGAGTCATTTGGGAAGGGGGGTTTGTTGTTTTTGTTTCCTTCTCCAAAAGGGTTGAAATGTGGGGTCTTTTGGCTTCCATGTAGAATGCACTGAGGTCTGGTAATAGGGTCAGTTGGAGTGAAAAGTTTCAGTGTTTTTGGTATTGCTCCCTTCTAGAGTCGGGTAGGGTGGGCCTTAGAATGGAGCTGACTCCGTAGTGCATGGTCACGTTTCATTTATTCTGTTATAGGACTGTTTGACCCTTATTGGGAGTTCTCCAACAGAGAAGACTGGCTAATTAGGCAAGTTTTCTCCCACAAGTAACTGAACACTCAAAGAACAGTGGTTTAAACAAAAACATTTTATTTTTCTTCAGATAACAGGACCTGGGTCAGCTGTGCAGTGATGACAGAACTGTGACCTGTACATTAACAGGCATACTTAACCATTCCGTGCTTAAGTCAATCGGGAGAGAAGGGCCAGTTATACCTTTTAGAAGGAAAGCATACTTTCTTTTTCAGAATATCCATCTCTTACTACCAAGAGCTGCTTTTCATTTTCTTCCTATTCTCTCTGCAGTTCTTTTGTTGATTTCTCACTGTACCACCCGTATGTATAAGAGCAGATGGGAATGTGAGGGGAAAAGACTGTTGTAAAAATCCTGATGAGCTGGGTGTGGTGGCACATGCCTATAATCCCAGCACTTGGGAGGCTGAGGCAGGAGGATCGTTGTGAGTTTGAGACCAGCCTAGGCTATGAAGTGAATTGAAGGCCAGCCTGAACTGCGTAGTGAGACCCTGTCTCCAAAAAAAAAAAAAAAAAATCCTGATGAGCTGCCTTTTGCCTGAATAAAATTGTCCTCTCAAAAAAAAAAAAAAATTGTCTCCTCATGACAAGCACAGAGTGGAAGTGGACATTGGGTTGGTCCTTCACAGATGCCTGCTGTTGCTCAGATAGCTTCTGGGCGTGGAGAAGATACAGAAGAGGGAAGAATGAGACTCAGAAAGGATTATGTTTTGCAGCATCTTCTCCATTTTGTGCTTATGAAGTAAGCTTTCTGCTCAGTAGAAATGAGAAAGCGTTGGAAGGGTTACTACGAGGAAGGATTGAAGAATTGACATATAGGGAACTTAGGGTTAAGGGATAAAAATGAAAGACCGTTTCTAGATATGTTTCTATCAAGAAGGAGGAAATGGGATCAAGCCCCAGTATCCAAAAAGAAAGAAAAAAAAAAGGGTTGGGGTAGAAAATAGAGGAAGAATAAATAAGAAATACTTGAGTTTAAAATGTATTAAAAGAGTATGGTGGCACATGCCTGTAAATCTCAGCACTCGGCCAGCCTGGGGTAGATAAGTGAGTTCAAGGCCATCCTGAATTACGTAATGATACCTTGTCTCAAAGAAAAAAAAAGCATTAAGAATAATAAAAAGAAAAAGCAAAACTCTGTAGATCAGTTACTTAAAAGCACTTGAAAAATTAGTTGTATTTAAAAGCAGTGTACTAACTAGTTTTTTTGAACTTTTCTTTCAGAAGATAAAAAATAGTATGCTAACCATGATTATGTATTGTTGACTGCAGTTGTATTTGCAGACTGTTTTAACAATTAGATAATAGTGTATTGTTGGCCTAACCCCTGAGGTACATAGGACTGCCTTGAGGAGAGAATGCTGAGGTCTGTTTTAGCCAGACTGGTGAGGCATAGTTATAATCCCAGTGCTCTGGGAGTCTGAGGCAGGAGGACTGCGAGTTTGAGCCCAGTGAATTTAGTGAATTTATGAGGCCATATCTCAAAAAAAGGCTGAGATGTAGCTCAGTGTGGAGGTCATGGGTTCAATCTCCAGCCCCCCACAAGGTCTGTTTTTATTTGTCTTATCTATTGGACTTGCTTAAAATCTAATATAGTCTTAGGTACCACCATATGCTTACATAAACCTTGAGAATATGGGTAAATAAATGGATTCAGTGATCCATTCCCATATGTGCTACCTACTGGAATTTTTTTTTTTTTTTTTTTTTTTTTTTTTTTTTTTTTTTTTTTT